ATTCTCTTATGTATGAAAATAGCTTTATTTTGATTGCGCAGTAGTAGAAGATTTCCTGGTTTGTTAATTTTGGTAAAAATCATGTGCCGCTCGGTGGTGTGTGCCGCTCGGTGGTGGATTACGTTATCTAGAAACTGATTACCTTAACATCGTCTTTGTAATCTCCATCAAAAAGCACATTAAGATCAACGTGCACCCAGAGTTCATTCGAATTCTTAAGGTAGAACCGGACCTCGCCCTTGACGGCAATCAGGTTGACGTTCTCCCATCCGTGTACTCAGTCTCCAACAACAACACTCTGCAGGAGGAGGCCCACGACTCTAACACTGGCTGGTACACCGGTCAGTTGACTAATAGTAACATTGAAGTCGCAGCCTACAGCAGCTTGGGAGCCGCTTATCTTGCGGGAACTTATACTCCGACTATCCGAGTCTACGCTCAGTTGACCGATAACTCAATCCAGGAATACGGATGGGATGGTGAGCCTTACCCAGGGCAATGCAACCTGTTTCCTCAGTGACATTTTTCTCTTTATCTAGATGATTCAAACGAATGGCAAGCTTTCCATAACCTGGGCCAGGCACTCCCCGGAACGGCCATAGCCGTAACGTCCTTCACCATCCCTAACCAGTCTATCAGGTTGGCTCATTGAATTCCAGCTGCCTGCTGTGCAAGTTCGCTGATGGAGTCTCACAGAGTGTACTTCCAAGACCCTCAAAACAATCTGATTGAGATGGGCCATGACTCGGATTCGGGCTGGGGTCAAGGCAGCTTTTCAGTCGCCAACGCCATCCCTCGAACTGCCCTCGCCGTTAGTACTACGGAAGATGACAGCATTCATGTCTACTATGGTGGTTCTAACGATCGTATCTTGGAGCGAATTCATGACGCTAACTCAGGTTGGTATGACGGCGCATTCGCTCAGCCCAGCATTCCCGGAAGCCAGGTTGCTGCCATCAATTGGGGCACCGGCAGCGGGTTGACTATCTGCTTGTATTTGCAGCAGGGAATAGATGTGTCCGCTGTGTCGGAGTATCAGTGGGAGAATGGCAGCTGGAGTGTTAAACAGGCCGCTATTCCGCCTGCGTAAAAGTCTGGATTGAGCAAAGTTCTCCACTTGGCCACAAAGAACTGCCGCCCAGGGTATGAAAAGTTTTGTTACTCACAGACTGTTGCTTGTGCTCTGTATTAATCACTCTCCTTCGCAATCCAACTGTTCTTAATTTCTTATTTCACAAGGGCCATAAGCCTTGGTGTTGAACACATTATTACACTACTATTTCTATTACGCTAGGAATGGTTGTCTAGGCGCCTTTTTTCATCGAGTGGTTTTATGGTTGACAGTTAGCACCTCACCTTTTAAATACTATACTCATAGTAGTCCTTGGTTCATATAATGGGGATAAGTCCTCTTTATAACCTCCCTTTCCCATATCATAAAGCACTATTTTCAGTTCCATATCTAATGACTACATATTAGACATTCTATTTTCCTTCTTAACATCCTTTAACTCTTCTAAGAGTACTCAAAGATATATAGACAGAAATAATTTGTGCTGATCTGTAAGCTATTGGCCTATTCGTAGCACTTAGCACTAAGTTAATTGCCACTACTGTAACATCCTCATTATTCTAGGTGCCCGGGCAGTACGGAAGGATACCAAGGGGTAGAATTGTAAGAAAGCTGGCCGGATACTGTCAAACCACAGCGGCAAAAGACCTATTACCGCAAGATGTCTGATAACTCGCAAAGCCAGACCCATAGTGGCACGGATAGCAGTAGACTTGGGACCCAGCCTGGATCCATCCCAGTCCCCGCTCGAGCCCACTACGGCCCCGTCCGGTGGTGGGAACCCGCTTGGGCCGAACCAACCTGTCATATTTTTGCGCCGTAGCATGGATGAATTATTAACAGGCAAGTGTCTCCGGCCGCAAAGGAAACTCTCTCCAGGTTGTTTGCTTCATTCTTCTGCTCCACCTTCACTCTCATGCAGGACCTCGACATTGTCATTCATCAACATGGTTACATGACCAGTGAAATGATCATATTCAGACCATTCTATCTCCGGAGATACTTGCCAGGTCTCAAATTACCCCTCAGAATCGGTCTGTGATGAACTAGAGACGATGGGGAGATGAGGGGGTCCTCAGTCGTTGTCGGTCTATAAAGCCCTTCGAAGTATCTCCGATCAATTGACTCTCTTCAGCGTCAAGCGAATCTTTCAAAACTTCCTTTTTATCAACAATACAGGAGCTACCGAGTGAATTATCTTTGCCGCTCAACCTCATTGTTCAATTCTGAAACAGACCACTCAAAATGGCAGTGCAGAAGCTTAAAGTTGGCATGGCTGGCTTAGGCCGAGTGGGCAAGCTCCATGCGATCAACTTCTTACACCGGACTCCTCGTGCTGAATTGGTTGCTGCATTTTCGCCTGACCCGGCAGAGATCGCCTGGGGTAGACAGAACCTGGAGCCTTACGGTGTCACTCTTTATGACAATTACGATAAGATGCTAGAGCACCCCGGACTGATGGCGGTGGCTATTGGTACTGCAACCCCTGTCCATGCAGAAGAAACGATCAAAGCTATCGACCGCGACTTGCATGTCCTATGTGAGAAACCGTTGTCGACTGATGTTGAAGTGGTAAGTGGCATACATCCACCAATGGGTGACTAAAACCTGGCCAGGGTACCATATACTGATTGGAACCTTGACGTTCAGTGCAAGTCTGTCGTGAACAAGGCGAGAACCAAGCCACACCTTAAGGTCATGTGCGGCTTTTCTCGACGATTTGACGAATCATACCGTGAGGTATACGACAAGATCAGCCAAGGGCTCATCGGAAGACCTTCAGTCCTTCGAAGCCAGACATGCGATAAGCATGATACTTCTGGATTTTATGTTGCATACTCTGCGTGGTCTGGAGGTGTTTTCGTGGACATGTCCGTGCACGACATCGATCTTACTCTGTGGTTCTTCGGTGACGATGTGGTCCCCAAGACTATCTCTGCATATGGCATCACCGCTGTTCAGCCGGAACTGAAGAAGTTCAATGACTATGACAACGCGGTTGGAGTTGTTGAATTTCACAACGGCAAGATTGCATACTACTATTGCTCTCGCATGATGGCGCATGGCCAAGAAGACACAACAGAAGTCATCGGCACCGAGGGCAAGTTGTCTGTGAACTGCAACCCCCAGCGTAACTTGGTGAACTTCTACCATCCAGGAGGAATCACTCGTGAGGCTCCCTCTAATTTCATAGGTCGCTTCGGACCTGCATTTGTGACCGAGGCCAATGAATTTACTGCCGCATGCTTGGATAATACGCCACTTCCGATGAAGCTAAGCAACGCAGTCAAAGCCGTCGAGATTGGTGCATACCTCCAGGAGGCTCTGGTTACAGGCAAGCAGATACACTTTGACGAGATTGGAAGGCGGATGGAGAGAGCCCAGATTTGAATTATCCTCGGGACTGACATGAGGGGCTGGGAACGTCTACTTGATTGCATTTTGATCTTGATAAAGTCCATGTGTCTGCCAATCGTTCACCATACGATTGATCCCTAGACTCGCAAAGTCAAACACTTGTCTATAAATGACTCTTCTCAGTAGCCTTTCTCCGCTCGAATGCCCTGTCTATCTCCTTCTCAGTATCATATCCATAACACCACATCTGTGTCGCTGGATCGCTCCACTGGTTAGGGCTATGAGAGAATGACACCCCTAGAGTTTCTGGTAGCATAGCTGCGTCTCGCGCCTCCTGCAGTGGACCGTCTGCAAAGTGCCACAGTTTTCCATTTAAGAGACTGGCTTCTTGCATCTGACCAGATCTTTTGATCCGCACAGCCTCGAAGGTGGAGAGTGCTTTTGGGATCTCTGAGCGCGAGCTAATCTTTGACAAAGCCTGCGCTAATGCCACACCATCTTCCACTGCCATCGCGGCTCCTAGCAATTGCTCATAAGTATTAAATCAAGTGACAAGGAAGATACACGAGAGGGCCTGAAATGTACCTTGCGACATGTACGGCAGCATGGCGTGGGCTGCGTCTCCGACAATCACGGTGTGACCTTTAGCCCATCGCGACAACGGCGGCGCGGTAAGAAGAGGCCATTTGATGGTCTTCTTGATGAGACCAATGATCTTTGTGAGTCTGAAACTGGTTAGATATCCCATGACCTCAATGGAATTGAAAATTTTGGATACCGTACTTTGGATCCCAGCCTTCGAATTCGTTTCGCATGTCATGCAGGGCGGTTGTCTGATCCCAGGTCGATGGATCTGTTTGGTCGGGATGCGAGAGTACCATGTTGAATGATTTTCCAGCGCCAATAGTGTAAGTCATGACATGTCGCTGATTGCCGACCCTGATACCATTGTTAAAGACCACTGGATTAACGAGTGAGATTTATATCAGTTACTGACCACAGATTCAAGGAGGGCTGTGTGAGCAGCCACGAGAGTTCAGGATCCTGTTTTATAAGGTTCACGTCCACGGTAGCCCTATATGCGGCGAAGCCAGGTTTCTCAAGAGGCTTTTCGATATCCCCATGTAGTTTCGTCCTTGCGATCGACTTGATCCCTGCAGTTGACGATCTAGTAAGTCCCAGTATGATTCTTACAAGCATAAGATAAACTGACCATCTGCTGCAACGATTAAATCTGCCTCGAACGACTGTCCATCTTCAAGCTTGATTCGAGGGACTTGTGGATTGTAATCAACCACTCTGCAGGCGAGCTTCACCGTGACACCCAGATCCAAAGCACGTCGATACAGCGCGGAATGGAAATCAGCCCGGTGGATGACATAGTACGGGCCGCCAAACGTCTGCCTGAAACCGGGAATCAACCTCGTATGGCCTATTACTTTGCCATTCTCCCATCTTCGGAAAGAGATCCCCTCCGGCTGAGAGACATAATTCTCGAGATAGGGCCCCAGGCCAAGCTTGAGCAACAAACGCGAGGAATTCGGTGGGACCTGAATCCCTGCCCCAACCTATGGGACGGTCAATGAGTGTCCTCCTTCAGATAAGGTCTTGTTATTCTACCTCACCCAGCTCTGCCGTTTGCTCGTACAGAGTCACGGCATGTCCTTTGACTGCTAGCGCGATTGCTGTGGCTAATCCCCCAAGTCCTGCTCCAACCACGATAATGTTGAAAGTGATATTTGGAGCGCATTTACTGGGCTCACTATCTGCTCTGAAGGGTTTCAGAAATTCAAGGCAGTTGCTTGGGTACGAGGGTTCCTTTTGTCGATGTTAGCCAGATGTAAAGACAGAACTCTCAAAAAAACAGATGCAGACCAACCTTCAGCGACGCTGTCACATGGCAAGGATCATTGTCCTTTTTGGCCTTCGCGTTGACAGTCATGATGAAATATCTGTAACAACAACACGACCTGTTCTCGTCGGTGCATGAGTATTACTTGCAATATCCGTAGCACGTCTGATATAGACGCGTCTGTCAGTCCTGTTCAGCCGCCAGGGAAGAGTCGGTGTGAATCGCTCCCGATCTCTCCCCGATCCTTCCCCCAGTATCTAGAGGAATCCGAATCCGAGTATAAGTTCCAATACCATTGCAACATGCCTTCATCAAATTCAGCGTATTGTTCTTCTAAAGTTTTATCACATTTCAGTTTTATCTTCTAACAATGACTGTGGACACTCAGGAAAAGCTGCTTGCAGATCTTGCGGAAAGCAAGACATTGCCATTATGGACTCAAATGACGCGTCTAAATCCTCCAGAGCCAAATCCAAAGACCATACCTTTTGTTTGGAAGTATGACTCTATTCGACCCAATCTGCTTCGCGCGGGGCAGCTGGTCACGGAGAAACAAGCCGAGAGAAGAGTTCTCATGCTGGTCAATCCCGCCAGAGGTTCGTTCACTTTCTGTTCGAAACTAAGGGCTGCTGGAATGCTACCTCCTGTCTCTAATGATGCTGATACTACTACACAGATGCTCCATACACGACAGATACGCTATACGCTGGCCTGCAACTCGTCATGCCCAACGAAGTAGCGCCAGCTCACCGCCACACGGCCTTCGCCATGCGCTTCATCATCGAAGGCAACGGTGGCTTCACAGCGGTGCATGGGAAGCGCATCCAGATGCAGCAGGGAGACGTGATCCTGACTCCAACTTGGAACTACCACGATCATGGCAAAGACGGCTCCGGCCCAATGATTTGGCTAGACGGCTTGGATCTGCCCAACTTTCGCCACTTTCCTGTGCACTTTGTCCAGCATTATGCCGAGTCGCGCTATCCTGCGGAGGATGTGGATAGTGACGCATCGCCTATTGTCTTCCCGTGGAAAGTCATGAAGGCATTGTTGGACATGGAGCACGGTGACTGGGTTACCCGTCGGTACCTCAAATCAGACGGAAGCGAGGGTAAGATCATGGTTCATGCGCAACTTTATCTTGACATTGGCTTGAAAAATGCTGACAAAATCAGTGAGTCGCGTTCTCGGTGGTTGCGCCGAGAGGTTGAATGGGGGTTGTTCGTCACCACCACGGCGTGAGACTGTTTCTGCTGTCTACCATGTTGTTGCTGGTGACGGTCATTCCATAATTGGAGGTCAAAGGTACGACTGGGAGAAGGGCGACACGTTCTGTATCCCTTCATGGTATACATATCAGCATCATGCGGACTCTGCGGAGACTGTGTACCTGTACTGCTTTGATGACAAACCAATGATTGAAGCTCTTGGCTTCTATCGCTCAGAGGATATGGACGTTGAGACTTTGGTATCGGATTGAGAATTGTGGTGTGCTACGGTCTGTCGTTAGATATAAAAGGATGGGAGACCTATTGGACCCATAGGCCTCTTCCAGTATATATTTACACCGGAGGGGAAAATCTATGCAACAATGCACATTTCTGCAGATATGGATATTCTCCTGTCACACTACGCATACAATTCTTTGAAACCCTTCTTCCACCCATTGTTGGTTCATTGAGTCCCGTTCTTCCATATTCTTAGGTAACTAAAGGGAATCGTTGCGCCTGCAAAATCAGGCACCCGGAAGGCTAGCCGGAACGACTTCCCGATGTCTCCCCGGACCTCCGGGAGACATTCAACACACGACTCTCCCAACCCTCCCCCGAAGAACAAGGGGACTTGCACACTTCGATATCCGTATCACCGGAATAAAACATTAAATGAGTCAATCAAAAGATGACGGATCGCCTCGGGGAGCGCCCGCTCCAAAGCGCCGGCGTGTCGCGCTTGCTTGCGATTCATGCCGCACCAGAAAGTCACGGGTACTATGTCAAGCTGCCCCGATCGTGTCTTCTGTGCTTACAATGTTCTAGTGTGATGGTAGTCGTCCAAAGTGCTCCTTATGCAGTGACTTGGGATTTGATTGTATCTATACGCCACCTTCGACGGCTACTAATGTGATTGTGCAGAAAGAGTAAGTGTCTCTCATTTCCCATAGGCAACGGTTGAGGATAACAATATTCTGATTGTCTTCTATAAACCTATAGTTACCTATACAATTTAGAAGCTCGCGTCAAAAGACTTGAAGAGTCCCTGTTGACCGTGAAAAATGACCTTAGCGGACTTTCGTCTCGCGTTGAGCGCGATCATGAGCCCGGGCAGGCGCCAAACGCAGAGTGCCCAGTCTCGAGCTCCATGGCAGACTTTACAGGCACTGAGGACTCTGTCGATGCAATGGGGGCCGTGACCTTTGCTGATGAAGAGGATTCTGGCTTTTTCGGTTGGCAAATCGCCTTATGGCAATATAGTCTTTCTCACATGTATGCTGATAATCAAAGGTCCGTCGTCAAACGTCGCATTCATCAGGCACCTCACACGAGCCATAGCCGGCTCTGGGAAGCTTCAAGCTGCACCGACATCAAATGCTCAAACGAGCGCTACTTGTGAAGGTGGTTTTGTTAGCGCAAGTCGTCCTCCAACGCCAACAAGCCGGAGAGAAAGGGAACCAAAGCAGAATACAAGCAGCATATTCATATTACCCCCGGAAGCAGAGACGATGTATCTAATTAGACGATACTTCTCCGATACAGGGCTACTCTTCCCCTACATATACCCTCCTACGTTTCTCGAAACATATCAGCAGATGGTCAGAGAGAATCAAACGAAAGTGCGGCGGACATGGCTCGGACTACTAAATATGGTTCTCGCTATGGCGACAATTACGACACTACCGGGATGTGCGTCGGCAGAAACTCGTCTGGCCGAGTCTGATGTATTCTATCAGCGTGGCCTCGGTCTCTGTGGGAGTGAGATGTTACGTGGAACGTCTCTGGAAGCTGGTAATTTCGATACCCTGCAGCCACTCTAGCGAATGCTTACTGTTCCAAAGTGCAGTATCTGCTGTTGATGGGCCAATACCTGCAAAGCACCCAAAAATCTGTCCAGGCATGGACCATTCATGGCTTGGCAGTAAAGGCTGCGCTTCAACTGGGGCTGCATTCTCGAGACGCTGCCAGAGCGTTCTCCCCTTTGGAACAAGAGATTAGGAAAAGGACTTGGTACGGCTGTGTAGTGTTAGATCGGTAAGATTACTGAGCCTGAGTTTGTCCTTGTCCTCGGACCTGCCTTGCTGAAATATCAATCGTTAGAACTTTAAGCATGACTTTTGGCCGACCTGCTGCCATACCAAACAGTTATGTGAAGCTTGAATTACCCTCGGATTATAAGCTTACCGATGAGCTGCCGATTTCGAACTCTCAGGTTGACGCTCTCGGCCTTGCATTTTTCAACTCTACAATGTAATGACGTTCTTTCCGGTACACAAGCACAAGTACTGACATGACCAGAACTCTATATAAGCAGATGTGGAACACCATGGAGTTGCTGTATGGCCAGAACCTTGGATGTGACTCGAGTCTATCCGTCAGTCAGACCATTGCGCATACCTTCTCCATCGAGCAATCTGTTTTCAGTTGGGAAAGATCACTCCCGGATACATTGCGGCTCACGAGCTGCGAGAGTCTGCGGAACGATAGGAGTGAGTCGGCTACAAATTTGCAATCGGTGACCTGGAAGCTCCGTGTGATATTGACGCTTCGCTACCTGAATCTCCGTGTTCTTTTACACCGACCCGTTCTCGTGAAATTTCTCGATTCTTGTAGCGGCTTGCAGACTGACGCTCAGGAGTTGAAGCTGCTTCAACAGATGGGCTTGAACAGCTTGCAAATATGTGCAGACTCCGCAATAGAGATCATTGACCTTGTTCATCACGTTGTGAGTAGCACGGGGTGGAAACAGGAGCTCCTTGGGGCCTGGTGGTTTTCACTATACTATAGTATGTACGCCTCCGTTCCAGACAAGAATGAGCTCTCTAATGTCTGTTCAGCGTTCAACGCCGCTTTAGTTATCTTTGGGACAATCAGGGTTTGCCGGGATGAGAGCAGAACGGGGGCGTCGATGCCAATTTTGGTCGACAGGGCAAAATCGTACCCCTCTCGCGCAACTGCAGCTCTGCTCAAGCTTGATACTGGCAATCGGATGGTCGATCGCTGCAGATTGTTTCTTGAGCGATTCAACAGCAGCCTCAGCACTCCTGGTCAGTCCACCTCCTCTCGGGAGCTAAGAACCTGTCTCTTCGTTGCCTTGTTACCTTTTCCTACATAGATACCCCTTGTCAATTCTGCAGAAAAAAAACTAATGATAAGGACTGCAGAACAGAACCCGTTAAGTTCGGATTCCACGACGCATTTCAATTTGTCCGGCTCTGGGCCTATGGCATTTGGAGGAGAGATGGACTACTCGCCTCTTGGGATGGAGTTTGGAGAATTTATGATGGATGGAGATCTCCTTTCGTTGATGAGTCGGCCAGATATTCCACCGCAGGCGGATCTTCAGTAGCGTTTGTTTTCAATTTTTATATCGTTTCTCAATGAAAAAGAACACAGTACTCCACCAATCATTAGATCTTGTAGATTCAACTTGCAACGGAAGGTGATTCAAACGTGGATCATTCCGTCGGGAGCGTACCCGATCTCTCCCCGGCTCCCTTTTAACACACCCCAGCAGCGCCTTTATAACTGCTCCAATATACTTGTTGAAAGTTTGAAAGCTCAGTCGAACGTGAGACCAAAATGAAACTCCCCTGGAAACGTCTCATCCGATTTCAAGCCACGGACGGCCGAGTCCTGCATGGAGAACCGCTCGTCGCCGAGGACGTCGACCTGGGATTCATCACAGAGGCTGATGCAATCCGGGCTCGAGTCATCTCCGGACATGACATATTTGACACGACTGGCGAGACGATCGTGACTGATGAGATAGTCACGGTCAAGACTCTTCTGGGTCCGCTGACCAAGGAAGATGTTCCGATTCTCCGCTGTGTAGGGTTGAATTATGCTAAACATAGTGAGTCGTTTGTGCTCTACTATAAATCCAAGTTGCTCATGCTCATATTCTGGTCATTGTAGTCAAGGAAGCCGGGAGAACGCCGCCTCCATATCCGTTCATCTTTTTCAAGCCTAATACGACTCTCCATGACCATGGCGCTTCCGTGGTGATCCCCAAGATTGCCCAGGACGATCAGGCAGACTATGAAGGGGAGCTGGTGAGTTCCTTCCCCTCCATTCTACGCCTTTCTCTACTTTAAGTCCGTACCCTTCAAATCGTATTGACAGAACATGGATAGTGTCTGGTCATAGGAAAAGACGCAAAAGACGTTCCCGTCGAACAGGCACTAGAATACATCGGAGCCTACACCGTCGGCAACGACATCTCCTCGCGCAAACTGCAAAGAGACCCAGCGCTCGCGGGGCGCGTGCCGCAATGGGGATTCTCGAAGGGATTCGACACCTACGCGCCACTCGGCCCTTGCCTGGTTGCAGGGTCTGAGATTCCGGACCCGAGCAAACTGCATCTGCGCACGATCGTGGATGGGGAAGTGCGACAAGACGAGAGTGTTTCAGACTTGCTGTTTGACTGTACATATCTGATCTCGTATCTGTCTCAAGGGACTACCCTGCAGAAGGGGAGTGTGATCATGACGGGAACGCCCGGAGGTGAGTCTCTGATTGCTGCGCATGTTGGCTAGATAGCGACTGTTGTTAACTTCTGTAGGTGTTGGAGCTGGACTGCAGCCTCCCAAGTACCTTGTCCCAGGGACCCAGATGGATGTCCATATTTCGAAGATCGGGACTCTGAGGAATGGCGTTGTTTTTGCCTGAGTTGTGTAGCAGCTTGATGTTGCCCAGCGTACAAGTGTGTGTTTTAGTAGAGATGGCTCGAGTCTAGTCCGATGTACTCTCTCTCTTTGACGTAAGAATACTTTCAGAGATAGATCAGATTCAACCGTTCTGATGTTTATGGCAGTTGAAATAGAAAGGACAGTGACATCCTTCTCTCGATACTGGCTTCCTCCGACAGGCGCATCCGATGCCTTTCCCCGCATTATTTTATCCCACCAGTGCGCTCCTGTTATCTGATTTTCCATCCCTCTTTTTCAAGAGTGTCCACTTATTTTTATCGAGATTGAGTAGTCTTTCATTATCTTGACACATTCATATTGTATTGACCCTGGTAGAGAGTGGACCGTCCAGCCTATGGTCTCTGTGAGTTGTGGTTGTGTCTAAACATCAGACGGCCTACTCCAATGACGAAATCAATGGCTGAAAGATCGACATCCCTACACTGAGAGCTACGCAATCTCATGAGCAAGCTAATTGTACCCACAGAGTCTCGACGTTGGTTGTGTCTCTGAGTCGCTTTAATTATCATATTGATAACTATCCTGCTTGGAATCTACTTGACAGGCCAGTCCGTCTCAAGTCCTTGAGAACCCGAGAACTTCACCCAGAAGACATCATCTACCGGAATGCGTCTCTATTATGGTATCACACCTTTTGTTGTCACCTCGCTCTGTACCATTGTGTCTTCGCTCTATACAAGCCAAAGGGGACGCGTCATTCATCAGCCAGCCCTGCCTCCCTCATACCCGTTGGCAGTAAGAAATCCGTATCTTTCAGCATGGATGCCCAGCGACCGGGTACAGATGCTGCCATTTGCCGAGCCCCAGTTCTGGGCCGGCCAGGATCTTGGCTGGTCCATCATGGTGCGTGTTGATGGTCAGACGTACAGCTTAATGGGCGTGAAGGACCCGGAGAAAGGCGTCCAGCCAGCAGTTGTGCAGGGCGCGGAGTATACGGCCACTCATTCGGTATTCACTGTCAGTGCTGGAACGGTGATGGCCACCCTTGATTTCTTCTCGCCTGTGTCGCCTTCGAATTATCTTCGGCAGTCTCTTCCTTTTAGTGAGTGTGTTCTGTGCGATGGCCAAGGAAGGCAGCTAATGTCTCGTCGTAGGCTATCTAACAGTGGCTGTTTCTGGAACTTCTGCGAATAGCGTTCAGGTGTTTTCAAGTATTGATGGGAGATGGACCGGAGATTCTGAAGGGACTGTCTGCAAAGCCAATAAGGCGGGATCTACTGCGATGTTTTCATTGAAAGTCAAGGATGCTAAACTGTACTCCGAGAGTAGTGATATGGCTACGTGGGGGGAGGCTATATTTGCATCGCGGCCAACGACTTCCTCAAGGCTTTCCTTTGCGTCAGGAAATGGAGTCCGAGTGAGGTCACAGTTTGTCAAATCCGGCCGGCTGGCTGCAGGCGACCAGCAATGCAAGTCTGGGGACATCGTGGCATTCTCTCATGACCTTGGGGTTGTGACTGGTGACCAGGCAGTCACTTTTGCCGTTGGATATGTGCGGGAAAAGGCAATCAACTACCTCGGAAAGGCATACACAGGGTATTATAGGGCAGAGTATCCCAATACATACCAGGCGGTCACATACTTTTTGGACGACTATTCAGATGCCCTCAGTGAGTCTCTAATACTCGATCGACAATTGTCTACCAAAGCAAAGGCTGTCGCGGGACAGAAGTACGCGGACATCGTCACACTGTCAACTCGGCAAGCGTACGGGGGAATCGACCTGGCAATTCCAAATGACACTCTCGACATCAGCGAAGTGTTAGCCTTCATCAAGGAGCTCTCCAGCGACGGCAATGTTAACACTGTGGATGTCATCATGCCTGCCTTTCCCATATATTGGGTTATGGATCCGGACTATATCCGACTACTGTTAGAGCCTATGATGAGATATCTCGCAGCCGGGCGCTGGCACAAACCGTATGTAATCCACGATATGGGCAGCCATTATCCCAACGCCGACGGGCATGATAATCAACAGGCGGAACCTATGCCCATCGAGGAGTGCGGCAACCTCATGGTTCTTACCCTGGCCTATGTGCGCGCGACTGGAGATGATGCATGGGCAGCCCAGTATTTCGACATTCTCAAAGGATATGCAGATTATCTGGTCGAAAATAGCATCGACATCGCTGAGCAGCTGTCCTCAAACGATGCTGCTGGTCCGCTGGCGAATGAAACCAACCTTGCCATCAAAGCAGCGGTTGGTCTCAGGGCATTTGGAGAACTGACAGGATTGACTGAATATTCCAAAATTGCAGAGTCACGAGCCAACCTATTCTTCACCGAAGGACTGGGGACAGATGATCAAAAGACTCATTTCGTGCTGCAGTACCCCGACAGGCCATCCTCGTGGAAGACGCCGTATAACCTCTACCCAGATGTGTTGCTGGGCCTTGGAACTTTTCCAAAGAAAGTTCACCGGATGAGCAGTACATTCTTCAAGTCAGTAAGAGCTGAATACGGAGTTCCTCTAGACAACCGGCAAGACTGGGCCAAGTCGGACTGGAACATGTGGCTGGCAGGCACACTGGACAACAGCACCCGCGGTGAATTTGTGGATGACCTGTGGGCATTCATGACCAATGGCAAGCATAATTGGCCATTCTCAGATAGATATATCGCGACGTCAGCGAACGGTAACACGCCTGGTGTTCCGGTGCTGTGTCGCGCGCGTCCAACAGTGGGTGGACACTTTGCCTTGCTGGCACTGGAGGGACCCCAATCTCTTCAGGTTAGAGTACCAGAGCTGGAGAAGAGCTCCAGCCTAGGTGAGCAAGACAGCCAGCAGGTTCTGGGAGAAGAAAGGCAAGAGCTGTGATGTTGAGCTGACCAAGAGTTGGACAATATGTGTGCTTGCCATGGAGACGTGGCCTTATTGTTAGTATTTCCTGATGACTTCCATGTATTTCTCTTTTCCTCTGCTTTTCTTTCTTAAAGATGCCTCCAGAAGCATCCTAAAACCAGGTATAGTGAACGGATTGAGCGGTAGCGAGTCAGAGGTAGAGTAACTGAATAAGACCACCCAGCCACCAGGTACAAAGAAACACAGACAGAAACAGAACAACTTGTCTCCATCACACTACCTCAATCTCCTGAAGAGACCTAGGGCAATAATCCATGCAGTAGCAAAGTAGTACTGTCTTTATATCTGGACCAACCGCTGAATCCCTTGCAGCACTGGCCCCTGTGGTGGCGCTTACATAAGCGTGGTGACGGCGGGCTTTCTTTTCGGGGCGAAACCAGCGAGCAACAAGAAACAGACACAACTTACCCAACTCCAGCATCCCCAAACGAAACACCGGCCTGCTTTTTCTCTCTTCCTCCTCCTTCATCTTCTCTTCCTCCTTGTCCAGCACCATTGATTCTTATCTTCGTACTTTCATTTAGTTCCCATCCATGGCTTCTGTAAGTTGACCTTTCCCGACCTCCCCACGTCGTGCTTGTCTCCCCCCGTCTTGCTTTCCCTGTGTAGCTTACCCAGCTCTCCACGGTCAGAGCTACGCGTTTAGCAGAGCGTCAGTACGCAATCGCTGTCAAGATCTCAAGCTAACAAATTTGTCCTACTGTTTTTCTAGCCCCGTCCTCCACACAACTTTGCTCCCCAAGGCTATCCTCTACCGAACGGTGCTGCGACTGCTGCTGCTCCTGTGCCTGGCGCCACCCCTCTTCTTCCCAACAATGGCCGGGTCATTCAGAACGGTCCCGTCAGAGTGTTGTGCATCGCAGATGTCAGAGGTAGGTTGCATGGAGGAGCTTCAGCTTCGGTTGCAGACAACATCGCTGAAGATCAGGCACTGACGTACATCTTGCGCAGGAAATCTGAAGTCTTTGAATGAGTTGGCCAAGCAGGCCCGTGCTGATCATATCATTCACACCGGTGACTTTGGTTTCTACGATGATACCTCCCTGGAGCGGATTGCAGACAAGTGAGTTGGACTCTGCATTTTGTTCGCAATTGTGTGACATCACGCATGATCCTGACATGTTATGAAAACGGGCTATAGGACTCTCAAGCATGTGGCACAATACTCTCCATTGCTGCCCGAAAGTGTGAAGCGCACGATCGCCCAGACTCCTCCTCAGCAGTCTATTAAGCAACGATTCACTCCCGATCAACTCCCCCTTTCCGAACTTTCGATGCTGCTCGACAAGCGGCTCACACTCGACGTTCCTGTGTACACCGTTTGGGGTGCTTGTGAGGATGTCCGGGTGCTGGAGAAATTCCGCTCGGGGGAGTACAAGGTTAACAATCTGCACATCATTGACGAGGCTAACTCGCGGTTGCTTGATATCGGCGGTGTGAAGCTTCGTTTGCTTGGCCTCGGCGGTGCGGTTGTCATGCACAAGCTGTTTGACAATGGCGAGGGCAAGACCACGATTGCTGGTGGCCAAGGCACCATGTGGACCACTCTGCTTCAGATGGGTGAGCTGATCGATACAGCCAACCGCGTATACGACCCGTCGGAGACCCGCATCTTCGTCACTCACGCCTCGCCCGCTCGAGAGGGGATGCTGAACCAGCTCTCCGTGACTCTCAAGGCCGACTTCTCCATCTCAGCTGGTCTTCACTTCCGCTATGGTTCCTCCTACAACGAGTTCTCCGTCAATCCCTCTCTGGATCACTACCGCGGTAAACTCGCCGCCTCCAAGGCCTCTTTCAATGATGTCTGGGAGACCGTCCGCGGTGAGGTGGAAGCCGCTATCTCCTCCAACGAAGCTCAGAAAACTCTCTTGGACAATGCTCTCGACGTTGTTCAGAGAATGCCTACTGTCGCCAATGGTGGAAATCCATTCGGTGGCCCCACTGCCCCGGGCAACGCCGCTGGCCAGGTCGATGAGAGCGCCTTCAAGAACATGTGGAACTTCAACCTCGCAGACGCCGCATTCGGCTTCCTCATCCTTGAGATCGAGGGTGGTCGTATTGCGACGGAGATGCGCGCTCAGGGCTTCAACTTCGCTCACCGTACTGGAAAGCCTCAGGTTGCTGCTGGACAGCCAGTGGCTAGTGGTCTTCCAGCTTCTCCAGCAACTACTGCCCGTATCCCTGGCGCTACTCCTCCCCAGTTCGGTCAGGCTCCTCCTGCTCCCAATAGGGCTACGGCGCCCGCCCAGCAGACTCAAGCAAAGGGTCCTGCTGCGGGCCCCACTCGCGCATCCCCCGTCCCCGTCATTCCTAAGCCTACCACTCCACAGCCCTCTGCTGGCGCTGCAGCTCAACCTGGTGCTGCTTCGCCGGACAAGGCGGTCAACGTCGAGCCCAATGGCACTGCACAGACAGAGAAGCCCTCGGAATCTCCTTTGCCCAGAGGTGAAAAGAAGCAGAGCAACGGACTGTTTGTCTCGAACGTCGATAACGATCAGGCGGTTCGCGATCTGTTCCCCGAGGAGGATAAGGCGAAGATTCTCAAGGTCGAAAAGTGGGGCAAGTACAATCATGTTGTAACCTTCGCGACTGTTGAGGAGGCCAAGGCCGCGCTCGACCGTCAGCCAGTGGAACACAAGAAGCCCAGCGCCCCTGGCCAACCTCGCAAGCCCAATCTGAAGTTCTTTGAGGATCGTGGCTCCCACCGTGGTAATGCCGGCACCTGGCAAGCCAGCAACAGAGGCACGAACGTATCCCAGCGCGGATACCAGAGCGGGGGTGCCAGTGACAGCGAGGGAGGCCGAGGACGTGGTGGTTACAGCGGACGCGGACGTGGCCGTGGCACCGACCGCGGTGGACGTGGCGGAAGAGGTGGCCGTGGCGGCTTCAGCAAGGGAGGTGCCTCGGACTCTCCTGCGGCCTCGACATCGACACCCTCCGGTGAAAAGCCCGCTCCCTCTGGCGGAGAGTCCTGAGCGATGTGTCATTTCCTCCTTTGCCTGTTCTCCTGCGTTGTTTTTTTGCCACCTTTCCATTTCCCCGGCACGTTGTGTTCAATTAATCTCTCATGGTTGCCTGACATGTTAATTTCTTCTCTTGTGATATTTGCAAAGCCTTTACTTTTCTTCCTCTTCTCCTTTCAGCTTCTTTCTTCTTCACTTATTTCTTCGTTTCTGAGCGAGATGCACATGGACATTTCTTACACCCTAGTAGAAGACCTTATCATCGGTCCCCTTCGACTGGCTAGTATGGGAAGTTGTTGGTGCAAACGGTGTCACATCTCAAGAAAGGGGAAGTTGCCGACTTGGGTGCGGATGACGATTGGGAAAGAAAAGAGACGAAGGAAACAATAAGAAGACCCTAAGAAAAAAAAAAGGGAAAAAAAATGACAAGAACAGCAGACAGGAAAGGGCACCAACAGCGACCTTTTGTGTATTCTAAGTCTTTCCTGGTACGCACCAATATCGATACCCTTGTAGCTTCAGCTTCGTTTTTTTCTTCTATAGATGCAATTGTGTAGCACATGAGTTGCCAGTGTACGGTCACGCAGGTTACAGGTAGATCGATGGCTCGTATGTCAGGATTTACCCAGAATGCTTAGATACATTTCTCGTATATTACTGCGATGAACAAAGTCCTATCAAGGCTGAGATCCTCGCAGCTCGGCCTGTACAAAAGCAACAAGAGCTGACCCGCAATCCAATCCGCCGAGCATTGAGAAGCAGAACACATTCCGAAGCTCCAGCCAAAAAAAAAAAAAAAAAAAAAAAAAAAAACCCCCACAAACAATCCCCCAACTCCCAATCTAATCTCAACAGAAAAAAAAAAGGGGGTAGGGTAAAGGAGGGAAAAAAAAAAAAAAAAAAAAAAAAAAAAGAGAAAAGGACAGACGGTGGAGAAGAAAGAGCAAGAAGAAGGAGAAAGTGTGAGGAATGAATAAATAAAAAAAAAAAACAAAAAGAAAAACACA